CAAATGAATTGCGTTATTGTTTTGACAAATGACAACGCCACACTGGCTAATATGTGTCGCTGGCTTCTGCATAATTTGGTGAAATTACTATTATAGTTAAATTTATTCCTGTTTGTTTCATTTGTAAAAGTAAGAAATGATTGCTATTCCTATCGAATGCAGATATGCATCACAGGTCCATTGTTTAAATTGGTATAATTGGATGTTTTTAAGTAATAGCTGGGATGGTAGTAAGGCAGAAATTGCACTGTTTCAATGTTACCTAGCTGTGAGAAAGTATGTACTGTTCTAGCAACACTAGTTGGGGAATGGGACAGTGGAGCCAAATTCAAACATTACACTGTCCATTAATGTCTTGTAAAAGATATGGAAGGGGGACACAAAAATGTGTTGCATAATCATCTTGTTGAATATTGCAATATTAACTTTCACCCTTTCACATCAAGCTGGAGCTAATGAATAACTTTGACAAGAACATGGGCAGAAATGGCGTTCAAATACCTAAAAGATAAAATTCCAAATCGTAGGCAAAAAAAATCTACGCGCGTTAATTTTCTTTCGATTTGGGAAGAAATATTTTTTTTTGTAGATACCGGAACAATGTTGAAGTGTGTTCGAAAGAACTGAAGTATGTTAAAAAGTTCAACCTACAGAGACATTACACAGACTTGCATCTTAGAGAAACCCACGAGATAAAAATGATTTCTGAGAATTTGCAGATAACCTGCAATCACGAGATGAGAAAAGGATTTTACAGATAGAAGGTTGTGGAAAAGGTATTGAAAATCACGAAGATTTACATTATCAAACAAGACTGTACATGAAATAATGAAACCTGGAATCCAAATTTCCCCCCCGCCACCCTTCCTGGTATGTATTTGATTACATTGTTTACATTGGCAAACAAAATTAAAAGAATGTGTCAGATCCAAAGACTTCACACATATTTCTCAATGTATGTCGAGGCTGAATCCGAAGCCAGAATTTCGCCACACACCTCCAGTTGCTTTTTTAAATCGTGAAAAATCACAGTGAAATTGTAAATTGTAAATTTATCTGTTTTTTGCAATTAAAAACCTTTAAGGCGCAATTAAAAAAACTGGCGCAATTTTGGCTTCGGATTCATCCTCGACATACATTGAGAAATATGTGTCAAGTCTTCAGGGGTGACAACAACCCCCGAAAACAAAAAAATACAATCACGGAGTTTTTTCTCGATTAAAAAAAATGGAGGCTGGTGGCATAATTCTGACTTCAGATTCGAATTCAGCGCATTGACATACAGAGAGACACATGTTTCAAGTCTTTGGTTCTGACAACTTTTTTATTTGTGCCTGTGTTATTGGTTCAGGTCGAACCAAAATGGTTATATTACATAACATTGTATAAAATATTGTATTAGAATGTTAAAACCGTCTTCTCCAATAATGTTATGTGTCGGAAGAATGGAAGTGGAATTACTGGCTACGATAGAGTCGGATATTGCTTTGTGTTATGAAATAATCTACCATCTATTTTTTAAAAATTTTTCACATTTTATTGAATCATAAGCATTTAATTTAATTATAAGCACGTTTACAAATCATCATTCCCTACGGTGGTGAGGAGTCTAACTAATTTTACAAGCTTCCGCAAAAAGTAGTTTTATTAGCAGCCGCCAGTTCGCAGCTAATGTGAAATGAAATGAGCACATTACATGAATTAGGATTGTGCTTTATTTGCATCTTTGAGGGAAAAATATGTATTGCTAGTTGAATGTGGCATCGCTGACGCTGTAAACTGTTTTATAAGTATTTTCAGGTGTTGAAAATTTCTTTCATTCTTCATATTTTTCATGCCTTGCTTTGTTCAAATAATGTTCTGTATCTGGCATTGGACTTACCAGCGAATCGTAGTAGTTGTTAAAGCTGTACTCCAGTTCAAAAATTCCTAACACCCAATGGCCTTGTATATTATCTCCATACGGGATATGAACTTGTAGTATTGCAATTTCAAAATTCTAACTGCTGTAAAAGTACTTGGAGGTATGAATGATGCGAATAGTTAGCATTTAGTACAGCTATATTTTTAACGTTTTGTTTTTTAATATGAACAAAAATGATGATCTACAAACTGTTCTTCTGCGTTATTCTATAATGCTAATATATCGTAAGAATTAGTTCGGAAAATTCTCCCGCAGAATCTTCTACAACTATATTTGATTCTTCTGTGTTGCTTAACAGTGCCGTATTTTTGTCCTCTAATTCTTTAAGTTTTAAAACGCCACAAACTCGGTCTGATTTATGTTGTGCTGGCAAATATATGTAAGCATTAAAAGTATTTCTTACAGGTCTCGTTTTCTTCGTATTTACTTGATGGTCTTCAAATTTAATATTCCAAGGTAATTTGCAAATGTATTATAAAAATGATATATATGTATCATCGCAAATATATGAATTACGAATCTTAAGATTTTACAACAAATTCAGAACGATTTTCATTTGAGATTGCTCGTTTGTCGACAATTAGTGTTTCCATTCTTATGGGAGAAAATTAAGATTTTGTGGACTGAGAAATAATCACGGATTACTGGGATTTAATCAACTTCACCTACGTAGATCGATTTAGTTAGTATTTGTTTAATTCTCCGTCTACCCACTAAGATCGCAGCGCAAAAACACGCAAAGCAGGCTTTTGGAAATTTCTTAGACATTTTTGTACGGATTCGAAAACAAATTATCATGGTCAATTATCAGTTCCCAGCATTAGGAGACCGAGACGTGTCGTGTGACAGACATATCGTAAGTCTCGATTGGTGGACGGGAAGTGGTCTGTGTCGGACGGAACTACACATCCGCACACTCGGGAGTTACTCAAGTACTGTATAGGGATATGCATGGCAAAATATAAAAATGTTTTATTTCTAATTCAAAAATATTATTATATGACTCATTCCCTTCATTCCGTCCACTGTTCGCCTCTGCAGAACAGGATATATGGCACAAGTCAAACCCTTCTTTCTACTGGTAGGAAATGGTGTAGAATTTACATTTGCATCAAAATAATAGATTAGAGGCGTTGTTTTGTCGTACGTATTTATTTTCGCAGAAAGCCATTTCGGTCGCATTGCGGCCATCTTCAGGGCTACAAACAGTAATAATATATCTAAATTACAAGTAAAATATTATATATTACAAAATATTATTATAAGAATAAAATTAGAAGTAAAGCCAATTAGAAAATTGGAACATAAAATGTGAAAATGGGAGCACAAATTTGAATGAAGATTACATGAAATTGAAACTGTAATATTCTGAAGTGAAGTAAAATAAAATTAAATAAAAGTAGTCTAGACAAATAAATAAATGAGGCAGGCAGAAAGAGTTAATGTGCATGGGAAGCGGCCAGTTTCAGGAGATGCGACAGAGGAGGAAAATAATGTTGCAGATAGTTAAATAAATTATTGATGTGTGTGGCTTCTAATTAAAGTATGTGAGTGTATCTATTTTCAGTCTCTAAAATGTTGGCGTCAATGTGTGCATTAAATGAGTGTTGTTGTTCTAAGAGATCGTTGGCAAAGTGTGATAGTGTTGTTTTGTGTGTGTGATCTTGAATGCGTTCTTTGATTCTTTGATTAATGGATCTTCTGGTTTGGGCAATACATTGTGCACTCCAATTGCCACAATAAAAGACTTAAACCCCACTTCTTTTCTGCACTTGCATCTGATTAAGTAGCGACAATATTTATTTACATTCTCTCCAAATAGGCAAAGTATTGATCTGTCACCGATTTCTCATACGTTCGTACATGAAACCTATCTTATAAGTAAGATCCATTTCTTTTCAATACATTGCTTTAATCTGTTTTATTTGACTTTTAAAAATCTCGCAAGGAGTTGAGCAGCTTTTACTCTTACAAGAAAATAGTGACATAAATATTTTGATCTACTTACGTCATAAAATAGTAGAAATGCACTTGCCTCTTTCATTATTTTTATTAGTAAATAACTGGCCCCAAAATACTGAAAATGATTTCACGTAAAAATAAACATGGTATAAAATAATATGCACTTTTATTGCTGAATAAATAAATGTATACAAAAGGTGTTAAAATGATGTGATGCGAGTACTGCGCTGAATTTGTGAAATCTTGAATTATAATGGCAAATTGTAGGCACTAACATACTACCCTACCCATACTATACGATACTCTGGTGAATGTAAAAATATAATCATTATTAATAGCAATGTCTATTGACAAAGGAAGTAGGACGGTGTTTAAAAGTACTAAATTCTAGCATAAAAATATTGTATTTTAAAATTGTGCGCGTAGAAATTTACTAATTAAGATATAACATTATTGTTTTGCGTTATCTCTTCTCTCTAAATTATTGATACATTAAAAATACAGCTTTAAAAATGTTTGGCTAATGATATTCAGTTAATAAGTCTATTTGTTGAATTTATTTGTGACAAATTTGATTGAAAGGGCTTAGTTTTTCTTATGTAAAAGCACATATGAACATCGGCAGGTTCGCGAAAAAACGGCACATCAGAAACATTATTTTTGGGTAATAGTAGAAAGCGTACTATTTGTAAGTAAATACATGAAAACTGGAGGGAGGAGAGCACTTTGTATTTGTAAAATCTCATGTACGTTGTCGGTTGTCTTTCAAACCCAATTGCAAGCAATAGTGTGATCTGCAATGTTTAATGCATTGTCAAAATACTCTATTTTAAACAAAGATAACACTTAGAAAAACCATTCCTAAAGAACTAGTTCCTAGGAAATTTTCATATAATTTTGTCTGAAATCATGTATTGAAAAAATCATTAAACAATAAATGTAAACTATTTTCTTATGACGTTCGTGATCTCACAAATGTTGCCACTTGCAAAACACGTATCCCTCTGTTCCTCCAATTTTCATGGACTACTGCCTTGTGCATTTTGTAACTAAAAAAGTATGTAATAAATATTACCTCGGAATTAAACTTACAAATTATTTTCATATAATATAGAAAAAATTATTTCTTTTAAATATTATTAAATTAAATATAATCGATTTAATTCTAAATACACAACACAGCAAAGCATTTTCTTATACCTCCGCAGCAGTCCTAATTTATGTTGTTACTTTTGCCTCATACGACAGTTTCACTGTTCTCAGCACTGTATGCTCTCCATTCTCGACCAAAATGAAAAGTGAAAATTGGAAGTTGGCCCAGACTACAGTTCTTTTTTTATTTTTCTTTGTAAGAGTGATATTATTTGTAGGTTTTAGGATGTGACATCGTCACAGGAACCGCGGCCAAATCACTTATCCCATTCCCTATCTTCACCCAACTCAGAGCCCGTTTACTCTTCCTTGGGCTTGTCACTGCCCTCTTGGCGGTCGGTGGGGGCGGGCTGCGCTGGCTGCTGGGGCGCGGCCGCCTCCGCGCCGCACGCGCCCCCGTTGGCTGCCATCGCCTGCGCCTGCGCTTTGCGGGGCTTGCGCAAGTAGTTGTGGCGGTAGAAGTCGGCGAAGAGCGTCAGCATGAACACGTTCTGCGGCACGAGCACGTAGGCTATCCAGCGCGGGTAGCCACAGTCCTCCCACAGCAGCTGCAGCGTGTGCAGGATGATCAACAGGAACTGCACCTGGAATGGCAGTTGGGGCATTAGTGAATGTACTCGGTGACTAATCATCTCGTTTCACTCGCCTTCTAGTCAAGTGGATTATGATTTTTTTTCACAATTTACGTCTCAGTTAAGGGACAATTTTGAATTTGATGTAAATAGTGACAAGACTTTAACGGGAATGAAATGTTCAATATCAGTGTGCAAAACAAGCTGAAAGCGGAGTCAAAGTGGTGAAAAGAAAAATAACAACAGATTATTATTTAAAAAAATATTAAATGCGAATTAATTGACCATTACTTGGTATCTGATATTTATGATTTTAATATGTAAACAATGAACATCATTTATGACGTAAAATCTGTGGGAATGTGACAAACAAATATGTCTAAACAAAATATTTTCCTGCAGTCTTTTTTGTTGGTGGAATGAAAAACATTTCAGAACAATATTTTTTTTGTAAAAAAGAATGTGAATAATATTTCTTTGAGACCTGAATAGAATACAAATAGTTTCAATGATAGTTCATTTCAATTGAAATGAACAAAATGGGACCTGAATATGTAAAATAACAGACGAAAGACCAAAATATCGTTTTACAATAAAAGGTACTTTTCAACACATCAGTTTGTTACTAAGCAATAGAGCTTTCCATACTAAAAAAATATTTGTCGACATTTTGAAATACAGAAATATTTTCTTCGCATATTATATCGCTAACAAAATTAGTAATTTTGCTGAATGATAAGTAAATCTTAATATGGCGTTTAAATATAGAACTGCATTTAATTGCAAGTTCTCACATAGTATAGTGAATGAATTTGTTAACAGACAGTAATATAATACTTGTGCTAAATTTTAACAATTTTCGCGTTTCGTGGTTCAGCAAAGAATCGTAACTCCCTTTAAAAATAAATTAAGATTTTTTTCGAGATTGTATGGCGTAACATAAGAGGGCAAACGATTTGAAAAATATATGATAAAAATATGAAGCAAAGGTTTTAAATGACAGCCATAAGAACTCGAAAACTCCGCGTCGAAGAGACATGTAGTTTATGACGGAACATTGCTAAAAATGGACGTTAGTTGGTAACATTGAACCACATATCGCAATATCTAGTGGTGGAGTGCACTTCACACTGCGTTTCTCTCTGACGCTCCTGTCCTAGCCGCATCTAATAAATTTATTCCGGATAAGCAACTTGAAGGTTTGAGTGGCCCTGGAAGTAAATGCGTTACTGCATTTAAAAAGCTACTATTGTTCCCAAAATAAACCTCTGAACTCAGTTACCTATTGCAATGAATTTTCCGTCTACATTTTACCTTTTCCGGTTCGCAACGCGATGCTGTATCATAATGAGTCTATAGACAAAATATCGAGACAAACGTTATTTAGAACACAACATTATTTACAAATGATATATCTAAACTGTTGGTTCAGAACTGGATAAAAAACAGAAACATTTTGTACAATATATGCCTGGATATAAAAGTTTACTCTAGCTTTGTGGTCAGCTCTGACTTATTTGTTTTCTTCTAGCGTCTGTACAACTTCCGTGATACTTTGTTCAGTGTCCTGCTCAGTTTTATTCAATTGCGAGTGCTTAAGAATCGAGATGTCAAAATTCGAACGTGAACAAATTGTTAGGATAGGCACAGTAGGTCCGTCTGTAATCAAGGTTTCAGAACTGGTCAATATTTCTTTAGCCGCACTCTTGAAGATGTGTGACCTCGTAAAGGACGTCCCAAAAAACGCATTTACTGAGAACTAGCTGGGAAGAAAAAGTGTGTTGGATGGTCGAGACAGAGTATCATTAAATTGTCAGAAAAATAAGATTGGTACAACTGCAAAAGAAACATTTAAGCTGAACGTCAAGTTCACGAAACCCGAAAGCACGCTAACTGTATGATGAAAGCCGCTTGGGCTCATTTTCGTACGAGCGACAATTCCTAAACCATTAATAACCTGGATTTCGATATTTCTGTCCATCCTCTGTATGTAGTATGATCAATGTACGGACGTTCAGTTTGTGCGTTAATGCAAAAAATCGCTTACCAATTGCGTATTTCACTTACCATTTGAAGTTGTGTGAGATATTTTTTCCACCATATTCGGTCATGATAAGTCGGTCTCAGGGCAGTTGATAAGTAATACGAGTACATTACCACATGTACAAACGTGTTTAAGGTGCCCAATAAGATGCTGTTTCCTCCTGTAGAAAAAAAAGTACAGTTAGCAACTATCATATATTTTAATAGATCAGAACTAAATCCAAATGGAGATTGACCGCATGGTGACTACTATTCTAAAGGGAAGATCACTGCTAAATTGCTTGAAAGTTAGGTGTGTAGACGATTTTTAGGTGTATGGCTTATTAATTGCAGTGATTGTCTATTTGTTTTAAATGTTGGGGATGGTTTCTTTCTGTATCAAAGGTATTGACATCAGAGACAATAATGTGTTTTATTTCATTAACGTAAAATAAAAACAAAACACTGTTTCGTGGTCATTTGCGGTCATTCCACCAGATAAAAACTGGAATTAAAATATTAGAAAGCAAAAATTTACTACATCCAAGAATAGTTTAAAAATAAAATTCAAACTTAATACATCTTTACTGCTGGAATTATTATGAATATTTGACACATATGAAGTTATTTCACACAAGTAGAGAAAAACACAGCCATCGTTTTAACGATATAGGTTCAAACGATACTTCATCAAAATGTGCTTTAAATATGACTAGCGGGACGTTTTTTTCGTTGTATTTCGTGACGTTAGGAGTGTCAGAAAGAGACACTTTGGCACATCTGCTATCTAAGGTGACTCATAATTCTTGTTTTTTTACATTTTAAAACTACATTATTATTATTATTATTATTATTATTATTATTATTATTATTACTTTTTCTCACTAACTATATGACAGACCAAACTAAAAGTCACAAAACAGCGTGTAATTAAAACACAAAATTAATTTTTTTGTTACAACATTTTGTACAATTTAAATTTTATTCAACAAATTAGAAAATAAAAGCGCATTACTGTAGTAGAAATAAAGATAAGCCTAAATTTGTCTTCATCACAGAATATTCTGAATTCACAGTATTCATTTTTCACAGTCAGTGAGACTGTGGATTCAGTGAGGAATCTGCTATCGCGAATTATCTGTATTTATTTTCGAAAATTTCAAAACGTTAGCATTGCAAAAGTAGAGTATATATATATATATATATATATATATATATATATATAGAGAGAGAGAGAGAGAGAGAAGAGAGAGAGGAGAAGAGAGAGAGAGAGAGAACTCTCTCGGTTGTTACTAACAACCGGCACACTAGCATTTTTTATAAAGTTTGGCAATTTTCGAAAATTTCAAGAGTTTGAACGAAAATGAGATACACGCCATTCATGTAAGCATATCTTATAATTTGTATTAATTTAGAGCGCAAATTCATTATTCAATACACTTTTAAAGAGCTGATTATTTACAATAGATTTTGTTTAAAACAAAACTTTCGAACTTTAACTACGTAGTTTTAGAAAGTTAACTTTTTGCAATTTTCGAAAAACAGAAGAATTTTCCAAAAATTGAATTAGCACCATATTTGTTTACCGTGCCTTAATACATACCAGAATAAAATTTAAAGAAACAATTTGAAAGGGTTTTTGAGAAAACAAATTTTTAAAAAAATTAAAATTTGCCAATATTTTGTGCAAAATTATACGAAAACTACTAACATTTTCGAATTGAACATGACCTTCTTTCAAGGAGAAAATTTCGTAAATGTAAAATATCTATTCTTGAACATTATAGTTGTATCAAGACGCCAAAAAAGATTGCACCTTTACAATTTTCAAAAAATCAGGAATTTCAATGAACATAAGACTTGCACAATTCTCTTAATCCTTCTTTATGCTATTCAAACACAAAGTTTATTAAAAGAAAGTGTTATTTTTGAGAAAAAAGTCAACTTTTTTCAAGCTTCATGTAAGGTACCTTCTAAAATCAAAACATCAGTTTGAAACTGCCAAAGCCTTGAATTTGTTCACATCGACCGGGAAATAATCACTTTGGGGTGAACGGTTTTAGCTCTAGCGTTGATCACAGACGGACAGAGACGTTTTGCCGACAAAGGATTTTTCTGTATCAAGAATCCAAAAATCATGGATTCAGCTTCACCACGTGTTAGAGAAAGTAATTTACTCCATTTAAGATAGGATTAATCCAATTTTTTCCGACCATTGGTTTTTCTTCTTGCATTCGTAAGGACGAGGAAGTAAAAAGAAACCCTTAAAAAAGGTCGTATATAACGTGTTTTAAAAACGAGTGGTTTTGCAGAATTTCTGCAAATTAGCTATTAATGCATTTTTTAAAAACAATTCTCAAAAACAGCTAAATTGTTTCCTGAATATTTTCCAAGTGTAAAACAAGGTACGCTTAAAAGAACGACGGTCATTCATTTCATCTCATTTCGTGGAACTATTTAAATTTTTGAAAATTGCAAATTTTGAAATATTTTTAGATATAAAGCGAGAAAGTATGTGCTGCTGTAATACACCTAGCTTCAACACGTGTGTTTTGTATGGCTATTAAAACAAATCATACAATTTTTTAATTTTGTTTAAATGTGAGAAAAAAAATCTTACTATGCAGTATTAGAGAATCAACTTTCATTGAATAAAAAGCAAAATATTATGGCTACTGCAATTCTGTCGTTTGTTTTAATTGCCCAACAATGAAAGAAAGGATTTCTACGATCTTGTCAGGACCATGATGAACCATACATTTCATAAAGGTAACTGTATTATGTTTACTTCAGAAACTTTCTGCAGATGTACATACATACAGATAAGAAAAAATATATGAGTTGTTTTTAAATGCAGATTTTGCTCATATTTACATTTTTAGATTTTTCCTTTTTAATGCCTACTTTGCATCGAGTAATATCGGTCCGTCTCTCCGCCACACAAGTTTAGCCCACTTCCCCCTCCGCCAATCGAGACAACTGAGGTGTAATGCGATTCGCCTCTGTCACCTGCAGGGTAACTCATCATTTTGCTGTGCAACGATTTCGATAATTGGAGATTTTTCAAAAACGCGTTGTTTTTAAGCTCCCGCTAAGCGTCTTCGGTAACTTTCGACACCTACAGAGGCGGTCAATACTCACATACGGTCAATCAATTTGTTTTGGCAACGCTAGTCTTTCGGCACGGATTTTAGCCGGTTTCCTCTACGACATTGTGGAAAAAATCTAGAAAAATAGGTTAATTTTTTTAATGTTTTGGTGCAGTTACGAGCACACTGATGAACGCTGTGAATTACTATACTCTTTGCGACATTTGTATGAATCATTATGATTTTATTCATCACATTAACAATGATTTTACCTAATTTTGTAATAAATTATTAAAATGAAGGGGAGGGTTGAGCATGTACAATGCGTTTTGGTGGAGAGTTAATGTCACTTACGGATAACTCACAGATCATGGACAAACAAAACAAGAAAAATATGTTTGAGAACTATTAATGGGCTCTAATTTTTCTAATTATTTTAAAATTAATGAATACAATGTTTGCGGGAGATTAAAACATTTATGTAATTTTTCTTCGTTGTTTTTTTATTTATATTTCAATTCTAACGTTCTCAGTAAAGCAAAACCGGTGGTCTGCGGAAATTTAGACGTAGATTTAGATTTATTTAGTCAAAAAAAAGTAAACACTGTATGTGACGCATGAAAAATCATATGCGCACATTTTCTAAAGTTCCAGAATCCTTTCCCATCATTTTAATTATAATAATTGAAAGATGAGCAAAAGTTAAAGATAAATAAAATAAATAAAATTTAAAAGGCACGAAATTAGCAACATTTGAAAAACTAGACATTTTTGTTTCCGAGTTATAGAAAATTTATATGTAGTGGTAAACAAACTGTAGGTTTTATTTTTCTGCATTGCTAACAAAATAGTAACTCGCCCTTACCTCTAATTCTACCACTACAAGCAAAAGGATAGTTCAACATTACGAATACGCGCATACTCGTATGCGCGCATAGTGAAGCTTCATTTACCTTCAGAAACTAAACAAAGAGCTGTCTCATTATTTGCTCAATGTATCAGAGAAACTGGACAAATATCTGATCGAGATAGGGTCATCGACCCGTACTTTATTTGCTATAAGTATACTAAGTTGTTTTAAAAAAAATACAAATGTAAACTAAATTCATAGTATATCACTTTTGTTAAAATAAATATTTTTTTTTCTTTTTGATGATCAATTTAGTCTCTAATGGTATAGAAACAGTTATTCAGCATATAATATTTTACTTTTAACTTATATTTTTGAACTTTAATTGTTTAATGTCATCTGTCAGTGCGTTGTGAAGTAACGTACATGTATTGTATGTGGATTTCTGATAGTGAGGTGTTGATACGGACACTTGATGAACGTGATGTTTATGACGTGTGTTGTAATTATAAATATCAGTTTTGCATGAAAATATGTTCCCACCGTTAAGTAAGTCACTTTTGACAAATATTGCAGATTCGTAAACATATAGGCAAGGCAGTGGTAAGATTTCAAGTTCAATGAAGAGAGGCTTGCAAGGGTAACGCGGATGACATTTTTTCATCATTCGAATAATTTTCTTTTGCAATCTAAAGGTCAGGGTACTACATGTTGAGCTTCCCCAGAATATTATGCCATATCTCATTCGGGAATGCTCATTTGCAAAATACACACAACAAGCTGCATGAAGACTGACAGAATTTCAAAGAATTCTGAATGCATAATATAATGAACTTTGTGTTTAATTACGTTATATGTACATTCCATTTGCAACTGAATTCAGAGACCTAGAAATTTGGTTACCTTAACATCAGCTAATTGCATATTGTTCATTTTCAATGGAGCATGCGAGTGCTGATTTTGAAATGCAAAAATATATTGAACTGTTTTTCCTTCGTTTAACTATTAATTTATTACAAAACAGATTTGAAACTTCGAAATCGTACTATGTAATGTTTCTTTTTGCAAAGAACATTCGTGTTAACAAATCCGTTTCTTCCAATTTTATAGACGAGCAGCATATCGGATACATATTAACAGGAAGAGAATAGGACCTGAAAACCTTGCGGGGCCGCATATTCAATTGTAAACAATCGGAAATATAAGTAAATAATGTCCGTTCGTGCAAGTACGGTATTTTTATTCTTTGAGA